GATTCACATTACTCTTCCTACGATATTAAAGACCTTGTTGCCTGCCACATAAACCTTCATAAGATCACTGTAAGTGTGATTTTTTAATACATTTTTATTGAGGCATGCATGAAAATAAGCAACTGAATCTAATATCTAAGATTCAATATTGACTAAGGTTAACAGCAAAGAGTCATTTTGGATTTTTGCCAGTGGAGATATTTGTAGAAAGATTTTTTTCATGTCCTCCACCACTAGATTTTTTTTTTAGTTGTGCAGCTCTTCTTGAAATGCTCTTTCTTTTCACAGTTCTACTATTCTACTATGTCATTTCCCTCTGTTTGACAAGGGCTTTCCTTTTTTTGACTTGAATATGTCTTTGTCAAATTTCCTATCTCGATTCCTTCCTTTATTTTTCACATTAAATATAAAGCCTAAAGATTCACCACTTACCGACTTTTTGTGAACTTCTTCATTCAACACTAACCCCACGATGTAATGAAAGTTCAACTTCATATTTTCAGAAGAGTTACCAACCACCCTGACCAAACCATCTTAGCTGTCAGGTACTAAAGACAGTATCAATAGTACCATGACATCATCATCAAACTTGAACTCTACAGAACATAATTGGCTCATTATAATCTTAAAGTTATTCAGATGTTATGTCACTGAACTGTATTCCATCATCTTCATGTTGAATAACCTCTTTATCAAAAAAAAAAAACTTTTATTTCAAGTAGAATGTTTTTTTTGTAATTTTTTGCTAGCATCGCCATGAGATCTATTGTAATTTTCTCGTTCACTAAACTGAATGCAATAGATGAGAAAAGTGACGAAGGAATAAAACTTAGGCCTGTTCACTTCAACCCCTCTCATTCCTCCTTAGTCATCGACTTAGGCTTTTTGGTGATACCTTGCAGTGATAATTATAATATTTTTCTGCTAAAGCAACTTGCATCCTCCAAAATACAAAGTTCATTTCATTGAAATTCTCCACTTTGTACCTTACTTCATCGGTCATTGCTTCCACTCGAATCAAACACTTTACTATGATATCACTTTGTTGGGATGGAAACTTTTATATTTTGACTAGGGCTTCGATACAATTAGAAATCAAAATCACACTGCGGAATAAGATAATATTGATTTGAGAAAAATAAAATAAAATATTTGAAGGGAAGCACAAAAAAAGTAATAATGAAAACACATCAGGAATTAACGTGGAAAAACCAGAAAGCGGGAAAAATCGTAGAGCCACACCTTGAAGAAATTTTTACTATGAAAATTTCTAATAGTACAAAATACTCTTATATCTCCTCTCTACAATTGATGAAAATTGTAGAACTTTGATCCATACTATTCCTCTCGATCTCACAAAAGAATATTAAGAATGATGAAATCCTTATCTTTGACACTTTTCTCTTTCACAAGTCCTTTGCGAAAGAACCACACGTGAGAGTCACACATTCGTCACTCCAAATCATAAATTTAAGAACTATTCCAAGACAAACCATCTGATGACATGATCACACCACATATGGACAAAATTATTTAATCTACTTGGGACAACCTCAAGCCTTCCTTGCGTAGCCATGCCCATTTGCAGCGTGGTTACATGGACCGACGTAGATACGCCTATTTCGACCGTGGTTCTGCCAAATGCATGCACAGAAGTTTCTTTCCTTCTAGGCTTCAGTGATTGTGGGAGCATAAGCCTCATCTCCACTTGCAAAGTAACAATAGCAATTTTTTTTACCAAAAATTAAATTTTTTTGTGCATTCATAGTTTAGATTTTTGCTTCTTTATTTAAAAATATTATATTTATAACATATTTTTTGGATTAGAAATTTAATTTTAAGCTTTTCTTAAATGGTCAAATATCACTAGTTAATGAGAAAAAAAAAAAAGATCCAACGTAGAACTATATAGTATGCACCTACAAATTGAAATACATGCATATTTTTAAAGTGCAAGTATTACAAGAAAATTTTTAAAGTGGTTTGATTAGAATAAAAGAATATCTTATTGGTTATAGTTAATAAGAATATTTCATTGTTTGTCAAAGAGTTTAAATAGGTAGCAGAAAAAATTTGTGCTTATATGATTTGAGTGAGTATGTCAAATTCATCAGCATAATGATTATTTAAAGATAGAGTAGATAACACATCTTACTATGAAATGGAAATTACTTTAAAGATTTCTCATTTTCATTATCACAAATATTAAATAAAGATTCAAGGGACCCTATAAAATAATAAATGATAAGTGTGGATGATGATTAGAATAATGTTGTAAGGGTATGCCATTGAATATCTCCATAAAATGCAAGAGAGGGAAACGAGCAAGCCTATATGGACATTGGTTCATTCTTTTATAAAATTGTTTTATATTTAATATGAAAACTTCCCCATCTTATATCAATATAACTTAATTTATAGATTATATGATCAATATCTTAAGACTTTGTTCATATAAGAACATAGATAAATTGAATAACATAAACAAATTTATACATGAGATTAAAAAAACATGGACAAATGATGGAGAAATAATCATATATGGTGTTTAGTCTAATCATAAAATCACATATTATTTAACAATCCTAATAATTATATTTTTTAAAGGCGTACAAAAGCATCGAATTAGGTGAATAGCTCATAGCGTAATTTTTAACTTATTGATGGAATCATAGAGAAGATTGAAGTACATTTATTGTATAAATCTTGAATTAAAATTTGAGATGATACTTTAGAACTACAATGATTTGTTATCAAAATATAGTATATGCTCATCTTTAGATATGGATAAAATTAATGTATAACCAAATTTATATAAAAAAGAGAAATAATTTGAATACTTTAAATGACGGGCTCTTTGAGTCACATTATGTATAATAAAAGATTGAAAGATAAACATACAATTCAAATGCATGCAACAAAATTTAACAAAACTTTACTATTGATTTAGGTAATCAGATTCTAGCCATTAAAATAGCCATTATTTTAAATTTTATATCATATTTTTTGTAATTTTTATTAATTGAGGATAAGAAAGATGTGTTTAAGATCTAATATGATTAGAAAGAATAGGAGGATGTTGACATAACTGAGAATGTGATAAAAGTGTTAGGAATTTATTATAATGATAATTTTAATGATGACTCACTAATTAGTTGGTGGATGGAGACTTTATAATCTTAGTGGTTATATTATTTTGTTAATTTTGATTTGAGAGTGTAAGGATTTTGACTCGTTATGGTTTTATTTTTGATATCAAGCATGGGAGAAAAAAAATTTATATTTTACTTTAGTAGTGTGTGTGTGTATAAAGGATGATATTTGAGAATTCCGCTCCCCATATGTAATATCCATCCTTATAGGGATCGAACCCAAGTCAGAGATGCGTTGTCAGTCATAACTTGTAACAATAATTTGATTTGTAACATATAGGTCAACCCCTCTATAAATAAAGTTGGTCATTACTATGATGTAAGGAGAGGATCCTCATGTATGAAAATAGCTCATTCATCACTTATTTCTTTCTAATTCTTTTAGCTCCAAAGCCTTCCTTAATTTAACTCTTTCCTTTCCTTGATGGTGTGGATTCATGAACAGTTCAGGATCCAACAATATTGTATGCATAATCGTAATAGGAAAGCCACCTTAGGAAATTAAATTTATTTGTAGCAGTTTAAATAATTGTAAATCCAAGAATTATTTTACAACGATTTAAATCCTTGTTGAATTTTTGTAAGCAGTTTTAACTACCACTAAAACATCATTCTTTTCTGGTTGTTAGGTATGACTCATGTACTAGATAAGAGACTGATGTTGGAGCCGAACAGAGCGAGCCAACGGAGCAGAGCGAGCGAGCGGAATGGAGTAGAAGCATCTGTCTAATCAGGGGAAGTTTTATTATTTGGGTTGGGGGTGCTGGGGCAATGACCCCGCGGTATTGTATAGGTGTAATTTGGTAATTATATATTGTACGTCGGGGTTATATATATATAT